GAGAGAGAGAGAGAGAGAGAGAGAGAGAGAGAGAGAGAGAGAGAGAGACTGAATGGCAAAATTAAAATATGGGTCAAATTGCGGCCGCGATCTATTTTGCAGTTGGAATGATTTTTTCAAATTTATTTAGCATTTTTTCCTGGAAAGATCACAACAAAATCTACGAGTACTCCAATTTTCTAGTTTTTTCACACATTTTTTTGAGCGTGAAAGCTCACTGAATTTGGAGTACTTTTTTAGTTGGCCCAGGCATGGCTGAGTGGCAAAAATGAAAAATATGCCGAATCGGCGCGGTAATTATTTCGCAGTGCAAATGATTTTTTGTAAATGTTCTATTATTATTTCTGGAAAGAACACGACCTCATCTATGGATTGTCAAAATTTCAGATTTTTGTGCATGTTCGTCCGAGCACAGAAAATCGTCAAAGTTGCCTCTTGCAAAACACCTATTTCGTTGTGCCTGACCTCCCTGTTTTGAGAAGACGGGGCTCAATGCCTGGGCCTGAGGACCGTTTTGCAGTTCACATGCCTACACTTCTTTTTGGGGTCCGCTTCTACCCAGGGACCGGCCCAACCCCCCCCTCTTCTTTTTGGGGTCCACTTTTACCCGAGGACCGGTCCTTCCTTTTTCCAAAAGTCCCGGTTCTACCAGAGCTAGCTGTAGGTAGTCCGCAATTTTGCCAAGGACCGGTCCCCCAAATTTTTTTGCCCCCTAAGAACCCACTTTGCATCCTGGTCGCCCGCTGCCAAAAATACGACACCTTGACACAGGCGCGGAAGCCCACTATACCGCAGCCTAAGGGCTGCGAACACACACACGGTTAAAAAATGATCCAATCAATGATACAACCGTTAAAAATAGTGGGCAAATGTGTTTTAAGCCACACACCCTATATACATAAAATCAACTTTGAAACTTTGCTTTTTTTTACTGGTTTTAATCTGCATAGACACTAACCAACACCCCAACAAAAAAAATCAAAATAAAATTATACGGTATCCCTCCAATACAAGTAGTATACGAATACGGATTTGTACAGTTATCTACGACACAATTTCATACGGATCGTTGTTCGACCAATAAGTCAAATTGACCTATGAACGTTTTTTGCAACAACATAATCCTCGTGGAGTTGTTGTACAACCTGACAATATCATAAAAACGAGTGTCACGTTTGTAAGTTTTTTATCATATAGGAACCATAAAGTATAACTTTTTGCTATGAATTAATATGGAGGAGCTACATTTTCCTTCTCTAGTCGTAAGATGAAGAATACAACTTCCATCTTACGAAGTACATTTATAAAAGCAATATTTTGTTTTATATAAAAACTTTGTACCACGATTTAATATCAATCTTTATATGTTAGAACCATCTCTAATAAAAAATATTTACAAAGGATCAAAAGTCATCCTTCGTATCACAATTTTGAGGTTGAAAAGGCTCAAAAATATAAAATAGATTTACAAATTGTTTTGTTTTTTAATAAATAAATATTTTATAATTCAATATTCAAAGTTTTTAAAAATATTCACAAGTCACAAAATGATAACTCGTATTATTATAATTTTCAACTCAAATAAAATTTTATGACTTCCAATATATTGATGGAGTAACAACAAAATTAATGGAAAATCAGCAAAGCAAACTACAATGATATATATTTTAAAATATAAAAAAAATCAAAAAAATAGATAGATAAAAAAAAACGAATGAACGACACATACACAAATGGTTAAATAAAATAAATTAAATTATTTTAAATAAAATAAGGTGAATACATGCGTTTTAAGTTGGGCATGTTGGGATGTCTCAGATTGGTCCACGTGTTTTGGTCGGGCCAGTTCGAGCAACGTCCCAGTCAAGGTCATGGGAGATTTAACGCAAAATAATAAATCAATGTATATATATACATATGGTTACCAGGCCGAACGTTCGAGAACGCCTAGGTTGACTCTCGAACGTTCGGAGGTTTGAGGTCTGAACCTTAAGGGGTTCGGCTCCCGCTCAAAATTATTTCGGGGTCTAAATTGTTTTTTTTTTTCCAATTATTTTTGTTAGTTTTGTATGACATGCGCTACGTGCACATAAAGTTTCGAGGCATTTTTCCAAGCCAAAAAAAAATAAAAAATCACCAAAGATGGCGGTGTCAAAACGTTATCAGCCATTCATTTTTTTTTTTTTCATTTT